CAGGAATGAACGGCAGCGCGGGGCTGGGGGAGCTGCCTCTGCAGGGAGTGCTGGTGCTGTCTGCAGCAAGGTGCCCTCCCCAGCGTGAGGGTCCTTAGTCTTGACACCAGGTGTTGGTGGGAACTACAGCCCTCACCCTTTGCCTCGCAGGGTTTGGTGGCCAGGAGGGCCCTCATCCTGCCCTTGAGGAACAACCTCAAACATCCCTGAGCCTCCTAAGTGGCCTCAGCAGAGCTGGTGCCACCCGTGCCACCCGCAGTCACGCCATGCCCTGGCTTTCCTGGGAGGAGAAGTGTCTCCTAGAGGTTTTTGGAGGAAGGTGGGACAGCAGGAGACATGCCCACCTGCTGATCTTCTACTTCTCTTAGCAGAGATATTTTTAAAGATGGGAAAAGCTCTTGCAGTGGGAAAGTTTCCTGAGAGCAGTACTGTGGGGAACCTCTGCGGGCAATGGGCAGATGTTTGGAGGGACAGACCCTGGGAGAGGAGAGGTCCTAGATGGCCATGGCATCTGTACCCTTTCTTTTCCTGCTATTGGAAAGACAGCACCATCCTGAAAAAAAGATCACCTTTTCTCCCAGCCCAGTAGATTGCCAGCAACAGCTGCCACCACCAAAAGCAGCAGCTTGTTTCTCTCTTTCCGTTTGTCCTCTTCCCATGTCCAAGACCTCTTGTTTCTTTTGTGGCTTTCATTACATGGTCTGTAAAACCAGAGCTTGGTGAGCAGCAACAGGGGAGAAGAGAAAACCTTATAAAATATCTTGTCAAGTATTTGATCCCACTCTCACCCCCCTCCAACCCTAAGCCTGTTCCCATTATCTGCCGTGCTGGGAGCTCCAGCCCGGCTGAGCCACTGGATCTTCTGCGTAAAGCTGTGCTTAAAGGATGGGCTTCCAGAAGCAGGAGTGGTTTTAGATAAGTCAACTAAAAATAATGATACCGATGACGGCTTTTAAAGACTAGTTTTGGACCAAGCAATGGAAGTGCATGCGTGCTCTTAGCACCTTGCTGCCGGGGGAGTCGGTACAAGGAGCAAGAGAGGAAGGGCCTACAAGAAAGCTGGGGAGGGACTTTGGCCAAGGGCAGGGAGTGAGAGAACAAGGGGTGATGGCTTGAAAGTGGCAGAGGGGAGATGGAGCTGAGATGTGAGGAAGAAATTCTTTGGTGTGAGGGTGGTGAGACAGTGTCCCAGGTTGGCCAGAGAAGCTGTGGCTGCTCCTCCCTGGAAGTGTTTGTGGCCAGGTTGGATGAGGCTTTGAGCAACCTGGTCTAGTGGAAGGTGTCCCTGGGTTGGGACTGGATGAGCTTGAAGGTCCCTTCCCACCCAGACCAGCCTGGGATTCATTCTATTCTATTCTCAGGGTTTGGTGTGGGTGTGTGTGGATCCTCTCCCCTCTCTTGCCTCCTGCTGCCCAGATTTCTGCCTCGTTGCGTGATTTACGCTGAATGTAACGGGGGAAACTCCTTCTGAAGGTGGGATGGATTACAGACTTCCCGGTGCTGTCAGCAATGGAGAAACAGTGTCTGCACACTCTGACACAGAAAAGGAGAAAGAGGAGGAGAAGGACCAGACCCTGGAGCGAGAGCAATGGAACAACAAGCTGGAGTATGTCCTGTCTGTGGCCGGGGAGATCATCGGCCTGGGAAATGTCTGGCGCTTCCCCTACCTCTGCTACAAGAACGGTGGAGGTAAGTGCAGCCCTGGCCAACCCCAGGAGTGCCCATCACTGGTGTCCCTCCTGCCTCTGTGACATCCATGTCCAGCCCAGCTCACCCCTGGCAGCAGCTTCTCAGCAATGCCCAAGTCCTGAGTCTGAAGAGAGGATGCTGACCTGCCAGCATAGTCCTGCCCTCTGCACCACAAGCTGGGGTTGTTTCCCTGGTGGGACACGAGTGACCAAACAGCAATGTCCCAGGGTTTC